ACTTTTGGGATTTCAATTGGGATTGCACTGAATCTGTATGGCACTTTTGGAAGTATGGTCATTTTCACTATGTTGGTTCTTCCTACCAAAAAACAAGGGATGGCTCTCCATTTTCTTATATCCTCTTCGATCTCTTTTTTCAGAGTATTGTAGTTCTCAAGGTAGAGATCTTTTGCTTCCTTCATTAGATTGACTCCTAGGTATTTCTTTTGGGGGGGATGTTATTATGAAAGGGATTGTTTCCCTAATTTCACTCTCAGGGAGACTGTTATTTGTGTACAAGAAAGCTAGTGAGTTTTGAGTGTTGACTTTGTATCCAGCTACTCTACTGAATCTGTCAATTAAGTATAGAAGTCTTTTGGTGGAGGTTTTTGGGTCTTCTATGTACAGTATCATATTGTCTGCAAAGAGTGACAGTTTAACTTCTTCCTTTCCTATCTTTATTGCTTTTATTTCTTTTTCTTGTCTAATTGTTGTGGCTAATGTTTCCAAAGCTATATTGAACAGTAGTGGTGGCAGTGGACATCCTTGTCTTATTCCTGATTTTAGTGTGAAGGTTTTCAGCTTTTAACCATTTAGTATGATGTTGACTGTTGGTTTTTCATAGACAGCCTTTATGAAGTTGAGATAATGACCATCTATTCCAATTTTCTGCATGGTTTTATCATGAATGTGTATTGAATTTTGTCAAATGCTTTTTCTGCATCTATTAGGATGATTATATGTTTTTTTTTCTTTGATTCTGTTAATATAGTGTATTACATTTATTGATTTATTGTTGAACCATCCTTACATCTCTGGGATAAATCCAACTTGGTCAGGATGTATGATCTTCTTGATGACCCTCTGTATTGTTTGCTAGTATCTTTTTTTTTTCTTTTTATTGAGTTTATTGGTACAATCTAGGTATACAATACAGTTACATTCATCATTGGGATTTTGTACCTTTACATAATAGGTCTTGATTCTCATTTTTTCCCCTTGTCCCTGCCCTCCCTTCACCCCCTCCTCCCCTCCCCATTTACAAACACTTTATTTCCATTTTTTCAGTTTCTCATATTTTTTCCTTTCCCTTATTACCTTTTCCCCACCCTTCCCACTTTCCCTACACCTTTAGCCCTTTGCTTCCTATTTCACATTATTAATTATCTCATTAGGATCCTGTGTACTATTATAGTTTTTCACACCAAAGAAACT